TTATAAATATTATTCTAAAATGCTAAGTAGGCTTGGCAGAATCGTCACTAGTTTACGTCGGCGCGGCGGACGTTGGACGTTGAACCGACGTTCAATTAGTAATGTGCTATTACTCAACTCAGATAGGTAAAAAAATATCAACTCTTGTTTTGAATGAAATCAGATGGTAAGAAACAAGAAGTTCTTTCCACACAAGTTATTTAGTTAAAATATAATCATAGAGATTTTTAAGTTTGCAATAAGTCAGTCTTTAATGTGTGCTAAAGTGTAACTTATCTAATAATAAATTTAATATCTTATATCAACTGAATAATTTTATTTTTTAATTTTATATTAAACTTTACGGAATTATATCGCGATTGTATGAAATTAGACTATTTAACTGGTTAAAGCGTTTTATAATGTTGTATCTAGCGAAAGTATCTGGACCAAAGATTCCTATAATGGATTCTGAGGGTTCCACAGAAAAGTGCCATATGTTCCGTGAAATTATTCATTTTTGCTTGTTAAATAATTTCACACTAAGTAAAATATTATTTTGAAATGCGCAAAACATTTGATCAGAAGTACCCATTACTTTTATGTAGGTACGTACGTAGTTAGCGAGAAATAATATTATAAAATTTCAATTGCACTATCTATGGTATGCAATCATTTGATTTGATTCCATAAAGTAATAAGGATTTGGTGAATGTCTCATTATCTTAAAAGTTTAGGAACCTCTGATCTAGATAAGCGACAACATACACTCATGTTTTTCTACTACACATCTATGGCACAGGGACTTTCCGATTGGTATACGTTTCATTCCCCTTTATAGTAAAAATTTTCGACGTTCACTTATTATTAATATTAATAATAAATTTAGAGAACGAGATAGATATCGGGGCATATTATATTGACAAAAGTACGCAATAGAATGAAATTGCTCTGTATAGATTTATTGTCCGACAAAACCAAAGTATATTATAATCACTAGACAAAACTTCAATACCGATGGGCACTAAATTGAAAAATTACTGCCAATTTAAGAGGTCGTTGTCCTTGACGTCATGGCGTGCTCCAGAGATATGCCCAATCCTATCGATCCATGCTCACGAATCAACCAATGAGAGAGCTGAGTCTTATATTGATTCTGTATCTAATTCTGTCAAAATATTTAGGCATAAATATAATGGACCCACATGAGCCCGACATGGATTGATATTTACAATGGTTTATTGTTATATTTTTATTGCGTTACTACATTAGTTTCGATACACAAAAGATTTTAAAGCGTGTTTGGTGAATTATCGGAATGTAATGTCCTACTTCTCTGTACTTACATTCTCACTCTGACATTATCGAACGTGTCTTTCAATAAATACGAGTACTATTCTCTTTTTAGCTAGTAATCGGATAACTCACTAGTCGGTAATCACTAGTCACTGCTGGTCTTTGCCATTGCCACTTATATATTTTTCCCGCTATCTGTTCTGTCAATAGAAACAGAATAAAATAGTTTTAAAACTAATGCCTTTAAAATATATACCTATAAAGGAAGGAAATAAATCCTCTTTACAATTTCTTAGATAGGTATCTATAGATAGATAGGTATCAATCTCCACGCTTAGCCCGTAGGTACGGGCTAAGCGTGGAGATTGAATTAACCTAAAGTAAGTAATTAAGTTAAATATTATATCAGATTAAAAAAATAAAGTTCCTAAAACAGTTTCGTTTTTAGGTCAGGTGGGCTATACAGTCGTCTCGTTTAGACACTAAACCGTGCTGATAAAATCCCTAATCGAAGTATACATTTTGCAAAACTTGCGTTACTAAGTAAATATTCAGATCAGTGATTAAATCTTTAACAAATTGAACTGTATATTATTTTAAAACCACAAGGGAGCTTAGTAGGTTCGCATAATAATTGCAAGGTGCCTAGCTTCTTATTTACAGGCCGCGTGGGATACCTAATAAGGAACCTTAACAGGCCACTTCCTTTGGGAATGGATCGTCCGGTGTGTCGCATGGGTCACCTACATCAGTATCGTTTGTTGATTTCATATCCTTCCTTATATTGCACCTTCCTTATTTACTACGGGCGTCGTCTAATGCAGCTATTTCGCTTTATTGTTTACGTTAAAATGTAGCACGTTATATTGTGGTAATTATGCGCCAACTCTGTTTGGTGACCGATCTTATGAAATTCAAGTTTATTAGAAAGTATTCTAACCTCAAAACCATGCATTATTTAGACAGTATCAAACGACCGTTGAAATGCAAACTTAAAGTCGTTGGTTTGAATTTGCTGTCGTGAACCACACCTAAAACAAACATTACACTTGGCGTGGTTAAAGGGAATGTTAGTAATACCTTTTTAAATAATGGTGACAAACGAGTACAAATCTTTTACGTGGTAGAGCCATGCTGCAGCTATATTAGTAGTATAGTTGTAGCACGAATGGGTCGGCTCGACCGGGGAAGGACCACGCTCTCACAGAATACCAGCGTCAAATAGCAGCTTCATGCTGCTGTTTCCTATGGTGAGTGTAGAGAACCGGAGACCCTTTTTACTGGAAAAGAGGCATTCTATCTTAGTCCTCACGGGTGACAACGCATCTGCATTTTGATTCGCAAACGAAGATAAATGTAGATGTCTATGGGCCACAGCAAGCACTTACCATCAGGTGGACTGTGGTGGTGAACATTGGCCTCAAAGCACCTTCTGAGCCACTCGCATCTGACTACTTCCTGTATCTCTTACAGGTAGTCACTCCACTAGTGTAGGCCGCCCTACACTTTGCTTAGCGGTAGGTACGAGGCTGCCACTCGAGAACTTTTTTCCCCTCGGTTGTCGGTTCTACAAACTATATGGCTGGGTCATTGCCACTTCAGCTTACTTAACCCGTTGGGCTATGTCGAATACTCTGGTTCTCTACTCTACGGATATCCCCATACGAAGTTTGTCAGTAGAGAAATTCCGAGCATTGCCCTCCGTAGCTCGCTTTGCGACTTTGAGCTTCCGCATACGCCAACAGTGATGAATGAGGATGATGATGGAGGAGTTTCAGATTCTCGACTCTCACCATACGCGGGGCACAACAGCATTACCATTTTACGCTGGTTTCTTGTGCGAACGTGATCCTTTCCTATTCGAACCAATGTTATGCAGTCGTAATACAGCATGATGTATGCCAGCGCTTACACTAACCCGTCTTATTACACAAGTGGTAAGATTAAAAATTTTTTACAAACGACTTCAATATTAATTATAAGGATAACTCAAAAACTAATGGTCAAACCTTTATCAAATTTATATGGGACCATATGAAAAACACCAGCTTTCAAATGAAAAAAAAAATAATCGAAATCGGTTCTCCGGGAAAAAAGTTATGAGTATAGTATAGTACCTCCTCCGTTTTGAAGTCTGCCGAAAAGGGTAGTTTATAATTATTAGTGTCAGGCTTAAACTAATGTCAGTTTCACAATAGAGGCCCCGCGGAAAATAGGTGAAATAAAATTTAAAGTATGAAATTTGAAAGCAAGTCACAAATTCGCGAAAAGTGTGACGCTGCGGACCTGACTTTGAACTTTGAAGATTATACTATTGAATTGAACCCGAGACTCGCTAAACCTCGTTTTGTATTAAAAATGAACGAGTCTTATATTCGGGCGAAACAAAATAAATATTTCTATGAAGTGATAGCCCATGTTTCTTTATTGATTTTCTATGTTTGAGCTTGTACTATTATTTGTTCTGTGGTTTAAGGAAAGTTACATAAACCTTCAGGAAGTATTGTATACTTACGTAAGGTTATTTACCGGTAGAAAGCGGAAAACAGAATAGAAAGCTCCAGACTTGAAAGTTAAACATAATATTCTTTAACATTTCTGATCGCGTTACAATCTTGTCGAATAGACGGAAACTTAATGCGTTTGCGGTTCAAAGTGCTTTTCCTGTAAATCATGATTAAACTCGATATTTAATAGTCGGTCAAAGTCAAATATTTTTATTCAAAATTGGCTTTTACAAAGACAAATTCGAAATAACAAATACTACGCCATCAATTAACAGTATTTCTGCTAAAGTTGAAATTCAGTCTGTTTTGTTATTTGTGGTACATGGTTACAACTGTTTTTTTTTTTGTAAGATCTTCTATTGACTATTCTAAAACCATATTGCATTGATAAGACTATTTGTATTTAACGGTGTGTACAGGATATCCTTGTATGGAGCCATAAATATACATTGTGTATATTCTTTTCCAACCTTGTGTTAAGGGCTCATAAATAGACTTGTAGAATTTTAATTAAGTTACGTTCACAGCTGACAATCACCTGTATATATAAATTAAATTTTTATAATGTTACTTCCTCTCCTACTACCTACTTTCCCTCTCTCGTATAACACAAAGTCGTTTGCTATAATCCTTTAGTCTATCTGAACTAAGATATGGTATGATAGTATGCGAGCAAACAGAGTTCAATCACCTCTGACACCAATGAAATTATCTTTAATTATGTCCTTGAAATATGTTTTATTGTTCTTTAGATTTATTACGTGGTAACGCGGTAGTTAGTATGGCTGTGCAGCACAAAAGGTTCGACTCGACCGGGAATAAACCACGCTCTCAGATATACAGCATACCAGCGTTAAATGGCAGCATAATGCTGCTGTTTATCATATGCTTAGTGTCGCGAACCGGGAACCCTTTTTACTAGGCATTCTATTTTAATTCTCAGGGGTGGCAACGCATTTGCACTTTTATTCTTAAGCGAGTAAGCGACGTTAGATGTATGTTTATGGGGCACAGCGTCCATTTACCATCAGGTGTCCACCTGATGGTAAATGGATGCTGTGCTGCTTGCTCGTTTGTCACCCTTCCATAGAATAAAACTGCAATTAGTGGCAATTGGGTGCCAAAATTATAATACATAAAATTAATTTCGTTGCTCGGAAAGCTCTGAGGCAACGGTCTGGTCCTGTAAATTTTACACAAGTATTCTATTTGTTACAGGCGTTGGTCTTATCACCCGTAAGGCAGCTAACGCGGTGACGCCTTCAGTGGAATTGCGCCAGGATGGTGACCACTACGTGCTGGTCACGTCGTCCACCTTCAAGACCACTGAGGTCAAGTTCAAGCCTGGCGAGGAAATCGATGAGGAACGCGCCGATGGTGCTAAGGTACAAATACTGCATCTAATAATGTGATGAACAGTTTTTTTTTTAATAATAATAACGACGAAACTGTCGTTTCATCTCACTAACGTTGCTACTGGTTAGACAATTTCTATTCATTCATGGCCTTATGACTCACAGGGTTGGTTATTATCAAGTTTGAACTAATAGTATAGAGTATATAAGGGTGACAAACGAGCTCACAGTCCACCTGATGGTAAGTGGCTGCTGCGGCCCATAGACATCTACATCTATCCTCTATTACAAATCAAAATGCAGATGCGTTGTCACCCGTGAGGACTAAGATGGAATGCCTCATTTCCAGTAAAAAGGGCCTCCGGCCACCTGCACTCACCAAGCGACACGCAGAGGTAAACCTCTACTTCACGCTGGTATTCTGTGAGGTCATGGTACCCACCCCGGTTCGAGCCGGCCCATCCGTGCGACAGCAAAAGCTGCCGCGTGGCTCTACCACTATTATTAAAATCTTTCGTTAACAATTAACAGTGCGAGCGTTCACAACCACATCTCTCTATAGATGGTGAAAATGCTTGCTACGTGGAAACTGACAAATAAAAATTAAGACCATGGATGAACCTCATCTGTAATATCGGTAATTGTTGGGAACACTACTCACGAAGTTATTGACAAGTATGTTTACCTAGAAACATTCCTCCTAGGATGCTAAAATCAAGAGTATACAACCAATGCGTAGTGCCAGATGACTTCTGTATCTGAGACGTAGTCTGTTACTGCTGGCCGTAAGAGGAAGCTTAAGGTTGCTCAGCGAGCTATGGAGAGTTTTTGTTGTACTTTGCTCATGAACAATAAATTATTTTATCGTGAAATTTGAAGGTCGAACGTAATGTCTAATAGTCTAATATATTTACAAAATACAATGTTGATGAATTTTTAAACTTTTTCAACGTACACGAAAATAAGTCTGACAAATGGAAATTTCTTTTTTTTCCGAATTCTATTATTTAACAATCCGAAGCTGAGGTATAAATTAACTTGAAGATTATTTGTAATGTTTTCTTCTGCAGATATAATTTTAATAAAGTTTTCGATTAATCTTTTTACACAAACGTAAACGCGTTTGTGAAAGTTCCTATAACGCTATTCTTTAATGTCACTTTCTTTTTTATTACAGGTGAAATCCCTGTACACTTTCGAAGGCAACACCTTAAAGCAGGTGCAGAAGTCCCCTGACGGTATGGAGGTCACGTACATCAGAGAATTCGGACCCGAGGAGATGAAGGCTGTATGTAACTTGTTTAAATTTCTAATTAATGTTTAGGTCGTAGAACCCACATATATACAATACATAAATAAAATTAAAGCGTGCCTGTAATATCGAAATACGTATTTTATTGAGCCAAAGAGATTATTTGCATGTTGTTACATTAATAACCATTTTTTTTAAACTTTGTCTGTCTGTCTCTCCGGGCTAATTTTTGGAATGGCTGAACTTATACTTAGTAACATTATTTAGTCAGTGGCTGAATCGATTGTAGTGAAACTTGATGAATAGATAGAGAGCAATGCTAGGAGTTATCTTTTGGTTATCGAAAAATTGATTTATCTTAAGTCTAAATAACGCTACATTAATCGAACCTACCCATACGAAGCCGGGGCGGTTGCTAGTTTATAATATAACTTAACCAATATGACATTAAAAGAGTTAAAAACGAAAAATTTCATATAATTAACCCTTTTTTATTTTATTATTGGAACTAAATTCTTTATCGGACGCTACGGATTTGGCGGATGGGATGGGGAAAGTGTAAGATTTTTCTGTCACGACTCCTTCTGACATAGTGTAGTTGGCCTTGGCGGCTATAAGGAAGCGAGATTTTTTCTTTTGCGCCCAAAGCGAGGCTACCCTCTGGAAGCGGGGGAGGGAGGTGGTGAATGTTCATAGCATACCACGGCAGCCGGCTGCGTGGTTATGTGGGACTCACTTTGAAGAAGTGCCTACTCACTAAACACCACCTGTGGGACTGGCGTTGGTCATAGGAAAAAGAGGCGCCACCGCAATTCAGAAAAAGTTGTAATTTATACAACACGTTCTATTACGTTCTTTGTGAGAAAACATCCTTTTTTTTAATTTAAGGAAAACATATTTTTTGCTTACTGTGTTTTAAGTATATTATAATAGAACGTTTTTTTTACACACGAATCTTTGAGTTTTATGGCGCCTTTAATGAGATACGAAGCTAGATTTCAAAATAACTAATTTTAATAAAACAAAGATTAAAAATGAACTCGAATATACGCTTTATGATTTTCTTAATGACTTTTTTGCAAAAAAGATGTTTACTCAAAACGTTATGCGTTCATAATCAAACAGACAGACCGACAGACAGACGACAGACTGTTAACATCAATTCTAAAAATAAAAGAGATTAATTGACGCAATTGATACATTATATAAAACATAAAAACACTTATAAATCAGTGCGTGCATAGTAAGCAAAAAAGAAAGTTTGATTGAAATTGTTAATAGCTATTTTAAAATTTTATTTACCAATTAGATTACTCGGCGGTAAAGAGTAATTGAGTTTGTCAACACGCAGTAGGGCAACGATTAATATAAAGATTAGCAGCAAATATGAAAACTCATCTACAGGAAAAAACCACAACCTGCCTTTTTGTATAACATTTGTACAACACCGCCATCTATCGATGAAATTGGTTAAATATGGTACTTTAGACTTAGATAATAAGATTAATATATTTTTGTATATACTTATTACGTTCTTTTTCTTTAATACTTTTGTTTACTGCGTTTAGATATAATTATATCATTATAGAACATCATTTAATTATGATTTATAATATGACATTAGTTTAAAATGCACTTGATGACTCAATCAACGCTACCATTGAACAAATTCGTATATATACCTCGTACCCATACTTCAGAATATTTATCATAACTTTTGATGGAATGAAGTGATTTTAATGAAATAAAGCATAAATGTAACCTGAAGATACACTTTATAATTTCCTTAACGATTCTCATGATATAAATTAGTACTTTATATGTGATACGTTAACAAACAAACAGACGGACAGACAGTCAGACAATTCAGACAACAGAAATGTATTTAATTACTTATTTTTAGTATCTCTCAATCACTTTTATTACAAAAATATAAAATGTACAGACGTCTGCTATTTACATTTTTATTATATGTATATATTAAGAATCAAAATGCAGATGCGTTGTCACCTCTGAGGACTAAGATGGAATGCCTCGTTTCCAGTAAAAACTCTGCTTCCCATTCTTAATACTTACACCTTCATCGTCAACTCGTCAGTCTGCGGGCGTTCATTTATCATTCGTTACTATCAAAAATCCACTGTTGAACATCGGCGTCCCCACAGATTCTCTCATTGGGCATTTGCCATAGTTGCCACACTTGTCAAGCGGGTTGGTAACCTCACTTTTTAATTATTTTCGGTTGTTATCTGAAGATGTTGCTACCCATCTTCTGTTTAAATTTTCCTCGTCATCTCTTACGAAACCCACGAGATGATAAAAGTTACAGCCTATATACGCCTCACTGCTGGGCACAGGCCTCCTCCCATTTCTGAAAGGGGTTTTAAGGCAAGGAAATGTTTCTCAGACATGCAGGCTTTCATCACGATGTTTCCTTCACAGCCGAGCACGTGGTAAATCAGTACTTAAAATTGCAATTAACACTTTCATTGGCAGGGATCGAACCCGGGTTACTCAAATACTACGATATATAATATACAGCGAGCGCTGAGATATGGGGTAGATATTCTTACGCTGCCCTACACAGCGTATCCAACTACAAGACTACAAAATACAGTCAGATCATTCTGCGTATATCGGACCAAAATTAATAATAGAAAGCCCAAGGTACTCCGGGTTAACTAACTAATAATATTAAACGCGATAAAATCAATAATATTAAGTTATCACAACATTATAAATATTATGTGATGATCGATAAGCTAAAAGAAAGCAGAGAACTGTCGGCTGATATTGATGATTGAAACACTGTTTTTTGTTCCAGGTGATGACAGCCAAAGACGTCACCTGCACCCGAGTATACAAAGTCCAATAAAGCGGAATTTGAAAAAAGACTGCGGGCCAGTCGCCCCACAAATTGTCTATAATATTATTTTATATTTCCTATTTAGCACAACTATTTTCCTAAATAGTCCTAAGTTGATTTAGCGCGGTGATTTGTTGAATGACTTTGGCCCGAACTGTGTAACGATTGTTATTGAGCTTGTTTTACCAAAGTTAGGTTATGTGCGCCCCGGGATGTTTGAAACCTTACAGTTGTTGTATAAGTTTTTCATTGCATATTTAAATAAATGTGGTTTACGAGTATCAAATTTTATTTAAATTCGCCTTTTTTTTTTTCATTCATTACAGCCCTTCACAAGTCCACTGATGAACATAGGCCTTCCCCAAGAAATGCCACCTACATCCATCGACTTCTTGCATGTCTTAACATGTCGTCACTTAATAGTGGAGAGACGCCCCTATACTTCGCCTGCCGGTACAATGCTGCCGCTCGAGAACATTTCGCTTTAACATTTATTAATTATTATTAATGGTAATCTATACATATGTATAAATAAAATTGAAGTGTGACTGTAATATCCGAAATAACTACCTTTTATCTAGATAAGGGGTTATTTGCGTGCAATTAAGGTATGAATAATCATTTGTAATTTTTGGAGCGAAGTTCTTTATCGGACGGTACGAATTTAGCGCCAATTCGTGTTTCGTGGAATTTGTTACCACGAAACGCGGCCGTTCTGTGTCTTTGGTACGACAAGCGAACAGTTTCCCGTGAGAAACGTTGCGAGAATCTGAGCTTCTCATATAAGTATTTCGGTTGTTGATTTTGTAATATTTAATAAAGTAAACAACTGTAGTGAACCGATCTACGAGATTTCATATTTCATATAAGTTTGCCCTGATTTAAAAACTGTATCACGTGACCTCTACGAGGGATTCGAAAACAGAACCTAGCGCATGCATTTTGTACTCGTTGTATAACGAGTTTGGTCCGCGCGAGCAAACACTCTCCCATGACATATCAGCATAATTTAGCTTCGAGAGTATTTCCAAATATTATATAATATTTTTAATCTGTAAAAACGATTTCTTACTGTATGGGTAACATGATTTTCAAACCTTAGTCTACTATCCATAATTATACCCAAGTTACAAACTTCGGATATCTGTTCAAAATGGTTGCCACCAACAACAATTTTAGGCTTATGATCATTCGTTCGTTCTATTAACTTCTTTGACGCCAAAATCATGAACTTAGTTTTATTTTAATTTAAGGTGAGTTCATTATTATTCGCCCATTCAGCGATCATGCTAAAAAAGGTCGTCGGAACATAAATGATACTGGCAATATTTAAAACAGCCCGTAATGTCGGCACTGTAGAGGATAAACAGTAGAGGACCTAAAATTGACCCTTGTGGAATGCCACGAGTAACAGGACTCGCATCAGAAAAAATGTTGGTACCAGTTTCATTTCGAAGTCTGACGCGCTGTGTATGACCATTTAAATAACTTTCAAACCACTTTAATGCGTTACAGTCAAAACCATAATACATCAACTTCGACAGAAGTAAAGTAGTATTTATTGTGTCAAATGCACGCGAAAAGTTCAGTAGTGTCAAAATTGTATCCTCTCTCTCCTTTATCCTGGGCTGGTAGAATATCATCAACAACGCTCAATAGCGCTGTAACCGTGCTTAATCCAGCCCTAAAACCCGATTGTTTTAGAGGTAAAATGTTGTTCTGGTTTAGTGATTTTAGATAAAAAGGCAGTATACTTATAGGTCGAAGATGATTTAGTTCTACAGAATGATAATTTTTTGGTAATGGATTTATTACAGCTTCCTTCCAGATGTCTGGGAAAACCCCTATCCGTATCGACGTGTTAATAATGGTGGTTACAGCACTCAAAATCCTTGGCAATTTTAAGAGAACCATTTTTGGTACTATTTTTCACAATTTCTGATACCAAATTTTCATCCACTAATTTTAAAGTAAAAACCGACTAATTGAAACGGTTAGATTTAAAATAGCATAATGTTGAAGGACTTACATTATTGCTTCATGCTATGTGTAGAAAATGATTATTTATGATGTCAGGATCATTCTTTTATATATATAGAATAGGGGGCAAACGAGCATGCGGCTCACCTGATGGTAAGTGACTACCGCCGCCCATGAACAACCGCAACACCAGGGGAATTGCAGATGCGTTGCCGGCCTTTTAGAAAGGTGTAAGCTCTTTTCTTGAAGGTTCCTAAGTCGTATCGGTTCGGAAAATTCGTTGGTGGTAATTGATTCCACAAAGAAGTTGTGCGAGGGAGAAAACTTCTTCTAAATCGCACAGTGGTGGACCGCCAATCATCCAGATGGTATGGATGGTAACGCAAGTTTTGTCGCGACGTGCGATGGTGAAATTGAGCGGCTGGAATTAGTCCGAACAATTCCTCAGAGCACTCCCCGTGATAGATGCGATAAAATACGCAAAGAGATGCAACATCTCTACGCAGTGCCAGTGTATCGAGCCGATCGGAAAGAACTCGGTCGTCGACGATTCGAATCGCTCTGCGCTGGATGCGGTCAAGTGGAAGGAGCTGGCACTGGGGTGCCCCGGCCCAGAGATGAGAACAGTATTCCATGTGGGGCCGAACTTGAGCTTTGTAAAGTTGCAAGCGATGTGCCGGCATGAAATACTGTCTCGCTCTACTGAGCACGCCAAGCTTTTTAGAGGCCAATTTGGCCTTCCCTTCCAAGTGACCACGAAACTGCACGCTATTCGATATGTCGACGCCAAGGATTCCGATACTGGCTGAGGCAGCAAGGGGAGTGCCTTGAAACTGAGGAGATACGACAAAGGGGTTCTTTTTAGCGGTAAACGCGCAAACTTGTGTCTTCTGGGGATTGAACTGGACTAGATTTAGTCGGCCCCAATCCGAGACTTTGTTAAGCAAAGACTCGACTTCAGACACAAGTTTGTCCCGGTACTCGGCGACGTTTTCCCGAGAAATATTGGCACGGCCGGTATATAAGGCATCCCCAGTGCTGTCGTCTGCATAGCAATGAATGCTACCAGTTAGCAACATATCATTGATATGCAGGAGAAACAGCGTTGGTGATAGCACGCAGCCTTGTGGAACACCAGCGTTGATAGGCTTGTAATCAGAGCATGCACCGTCTACTACGACCTTGATGCTCCGATCAGCAAGGAAACTGGTGATCCATTTGCACAATTTCTCGGGAAGCCCATAGGAAGGAAGCTTCGAAAGAAGCGCCTTGTGCCAGACCCGATCGAAGGCCTTCGCTATGTCCAAACTAACGGCCAATGCCTCCCCCTTGGACTCTACTGCCTCCGCCCATCTATGAGTTAAGTAAACTAGAAGATCACCTGCTGATCGACCCCGACGTAAACCGTACTGACGGTCACTGATCAGCTGGTGATCCTCAAGGTACCTCATGAGCTGGCAGTTTATAATGGATTCCATTATTTTGGAGAACAAGGAGGTGATGGCGATAGGCCTGTAGTTGGACGGGTCTGAGCGGTCGCCTTTTTTAGGGATCGGGTGGACCAAAGCTGTCTTCCATGAATTTGGGACTACGCCTTGGGAGTAGGAGTACCGGAAAAGACGCGTTAAAACCGGTGCCAACTCCGGAGCACACGTCTTCAGCACAATGGGAGGGACTCCATCGGGCCCACTCGACTTGCTGACGTCCAGGGAGAAGAGTGCTTTGCGAACCGAGCGCTGTGTAAATCGCACATCCGGCATGGAGCACTCACATCGCGGGATGGTCGGCGGTGTGTTCCCCCCGTCATCTAGAGTCGAGTTAGACGCAAAAAGAGAGCACAACAGATCGGCTTTCTCTTTTGCGGCATGGGCCAGTGAGTCGTCCTCTCTGTGCAGAGATGGGAGGGATGGCTGACAGAAGTTCCCTTGGATAGCCTTGGCGAGAGACCAGAATGCACGGGTTCCCGAAGGAAGGCGAACTAGCTTCTCGCCAATTCTGCCGATGTGCTCAGACCTTGCCTTGGCAATGACGCTTTTGAAGGACCTGGAGGCGGAATTATACTTCTTTTTAAGTGCGCTGGTGTTTAAATCCCGAGACGTTGATGCGTCAGCCCAGGTCCGGTAGCACTCCTGCTTATAGCGTGATGCTATTTTACAGGAGCGACCAAACCATGGCTGGGATCTGCCTCCGATGGGCACCACAGAGGATGGAATAAAAAGTTCCATACCCTGAAGTACCACATCAGCAACAGAATCGGCAACAACGCTGGGATCTTCCGGCGAGAAGCAAACCCGCCCCCAAGGGTAGGATGCAAAAAAAGACCGCATCCCGTCCCAATCAGCTGACCTATAGTGCCAAACACGGCGGCAAGCTGTAGATCGCAACTGCGATTGGAGCGTGAGTGGCACCGTGCTCCGGATCAGACAATGGTCCGAAGAGCCCAGAGGGGCATCGACGGAGACCTGATATCCGTCCGGATGAGAGGTCAGCAGAAGGTCCAACAGGGAAGGTACATGGTCTTCCACATCTGGGATCCGCGTAGGCGAAGTAACCAGTTGTGTTAGACCATATGCCAAAGCAAAGTCGTAGACAGATCTACCCGCATGATCGGTTAAACGAGAACCAAGCCATTCAGCGTGGTGGGCGTTGAAATCACCGAGTATCACGATCTCTGCGGATGGGACCTGTTGTAGCACGGAGTCTGCAGCCATTTGGACGTGGTCGATGAGTCGGTCTGTGTCGGCATTACCGCTATGGGACCTATAGAGGCACCCGTAGACGCGGGGATGGTCGTCGCTGTCTACGCGCAGCCATAGGATGGACAGGTCCGTACCTTCAAGGCTGCCGAGGTGTCGAAAACAGATGTCCTCTCTGACGTATACACAAACTCCAGCCCGGGGCACAAAGGAGTGTTCCAATTTGTATCCCGGGTAGGAGAGATATGAAGTATCAGCCGGAGAGGACACCTGAGTCTCGGTTAAAAAGAGCAAGGCCGGCTTCGCCGTCTCTAGATGGTAATGGACAGCGTT